TACCAATTATACTAATTATTTACCTCTTTTAACCTAATTTTATCAATTTATGGTCTTTCTAAGGTAGTAGAAGAATCTCTACAACCTAGAAGGTAAAATTACTAACTAACCTTCAACCTACTAACTATTAAGATAAGAAAATAACCTAAGAGGCTTTAATAAAAGCCATGTTTAGATATTTCAAATTATAATTGAACTAAGATAATTAGATATTAATTAGAAATTCAATTTTGATTATAATTTTACTATATAGTCGTATTACATCATGACAATGAGCCATATTGTTAGCTTGTACCACAAGTTATCCAAATGAGCAACACATGGCTTAATTATAAGCCAAGTTTCTAACCTACCAATCAAATATAAACATGTATAAAGTCAAATATGCATCTATGAAGCTTTTAAGAAGCTTTTCTACAAGATAGTATCAAATCTACTTATATTTATTTTCTATCTAGCACTTCTTATCTAGATAAATATATATGTCTATGATATTTTCTTCTCTTCTAGGAACGAGTTTCATGTAGAGCAGTCATCATACATTGAAGAAGTAGAAGATGTGGCGAATTATATTTGACACATACTCTAATCTTTATTCTTTTTAAAGGTGGTTGATAGGTCCACTCACTTATTGATAAAGTGTCATTTGAAGGCAAGAAGACCACCTTGTTATTTGGTTGCTATTGAGGCTTTTGTAACTTCTTTCAAATAAAACATTTGTAAGACCATCAGAAGTCATTTCTACCTCGAATAAAATCACCAAACATTAGGAATCTCTTCCAATGTCATGATATAAAATTTTTTATATCTCTCTATTTATTTAAAAAAGAACTTATCATTTTTAGGGTCTTCATTTTGTTTACATTATTTACATTATAATCTTTGAGCATTCTCTACTATTAATTAGGATTAAAGTTTATAAATCAAAATAAAATAGAAGATATTTGTTGCAAGAACATCATTTAATCTTTGTTGAAAAGTCTTCTTATATATTTTATATGCAACGTTTAGTAAGAATTTTGGAAGCTAATTGTATAATTTTTTTTTTATTATTATTATATATTAGAATTATTTTTTATTCAACCACATGTTGAGATAGGAAACTATTCTATAGAGATTAATAAATCACATAAATAATCTTCTTTAATTAAGCCTAAGAATATTTTTGAAATTTTATTTTTACTTTATCTATGCTTAGGATTTTATAATATTTTTATATGTTTGATAATATCTTTTAGTTTTTTAGTACCAATGATGTAAAAAGTTCAAGTTTTATTTTGTTGTGTTTGTTTGATTTTTGTTTTTTATTCTTTTTATTCTTTTTTCTTTTTTGAACTTCTTCTCTATTATATCTAAAATTCCTCTTGATTTTTTTATAAATTAGATAAAAATCATAACAAATATCTTCTATTTTATTTTGATTTATAAACTTTAATCCTAATCAACAGAAGAGAATGCTCAAAAGTAGAGAATCATGGTATAAGTTTTCAAAGCTTCTAAAATTGAATAAATAAAATTTACAAGTTTTTTATTATATTGTAAATTTAAAAATAAATTTTAATAATAATTCTTTTTATATAGATGTTAGATTTCATAAAAATTGTAGCCGTTGCTTCTTTTACATTTGTGATGAAGTATTCAATATATAATGGATGTGGGCTGCCTCAGAACTCGCACTTAGAGGACGAGTCTCAATCCATCTGCAGACCTTTGAGGCAGTTTAGGGGCAGTTACGGCATTTGCAGGGAAAAAAACACAACCATGGTGTAAGTGTTTAAACCTAATTCAGAATTGCTCACACCAGGAATCCGTTCATGCACTTGAACTAAAACACTGAATAGTCAGATTGGTACTCTAAGCCTCATTCTCATCTAGCAGGGACAAATAGTCATCAATTAAATAAGAAGTAAATTGACCACAACTACAGAGGTTTAGGAAAAAAGAGACAACAAAATCATTTATCGTCAATACAACAGAGTGAGTGTTTTAAGATTTGTTGATGTGTTCTGCTCCTGAGGGTACTTTCGGTTGGCTGTTCATCCTGCATTGGGTACGAGCTGGATACCTTTTCCATTAGGCCTGCCAGTATGTTTAAGAATAATTCCGCTGCGCTTATATTATATTTTTGCAGAGTACATCTATACTCGCCATTCCGGGTTTAGAAAAGAAAAGATAAGATGATTTAACAAGTGATAGTAGAGACGACGACTTGCGCTTCAAAAGAGTTCCAATAAGACCATGCGAATGCTCAAAAGAAAACATAGCAAATTGAACAATGCTTTTCTCACAACCCTGACCTCCAAACGACAACAGTGCGCACTGGAATAAACAGTAACGACAAATATCTCATCGCCCGCAAATTTTCCATGCAAGTACGAAGTCATAAATCCATCACAGTTTTACCACACCAGAGATTCCTGTCTAAAGCCACTACAATTGAGTGCCAGAATGCTTATGAACTCAACCAAACTGGTGGAAACAGAACCACAGAATCCTGTAAGCCTACGTATATTCTTAAATGCCCGAGAACGCTAAAATGAATATAATCTGAGTGCCGCCAAAGCAGACAACATTAGATTCGGTGAATCTCCCAACAATCTACGGCACCTACTTGAACCCCACATACATATCACCAGAGAACAACAGCACACTAAACAGGTATTATATCGGAGTAGATGAACGTAATTCATCTTGAAGTCCAAATGATGGATCAGCAATTCAAGAAAGGAGAGAATATGATCCACACATCCACAAACCGTGCTACCTAGAAGAGACAGCCAAAGATGCAAATAAAACCGACTCAAACCACAAACCAACAACCACACACAGCATGCGTCCCGTTCATGCAACCACTACCCTCTCCACCTCTGCCACAAGCCATCCATTACACCCTCGTCTTTTCCTCTAAAAAAAAATTAAGTTCTCATTCCTCAGTATCTCCATCGCCTGTCACTTCCACCCACCGCGTGTCTCCGCCCCTACCTCCGCACAATCCCTACCACATCCTGCATCTACCCGCACGCGGCATTCATGGCATTCCCACGGCCCCCGCTCTAAGGGTGCCTGTGCTGCCTCCCTCCTCACTTGCCCCAATCCGCACCCTCTTCCACATATCACATCATAACCTTCTAGTCTCTATCACAAACTCGTCGTGTCCACGGCGCCGCTCTAGCACAGGCCTTCTCTTGCGCTTGCTTCCGACTAGTCGAACTAGCTGTAGGGAAGGGGGCGCGGGATGGAAACGGACGGGCGGCGGAACCAAACGCTGCACTCTGGCCGAGCGCTGCCAAAATCCCTTCACCCTTCGACGACTCCCACTTCGGCAACCCACCGTCCTCAGAAGTTGTTTCCGTACCCTCTCTCCCCATCGCCCTGATCTCTCCTGTTGCCGTATCCGCTCGATTGCCGATCGCCGTAACCTCCTCCACGGCCGCCGAACCCGCCGCCGCCGCCTCCGCGAGTTTCTCTCGCCTTGTCAGTGGCGTAGTCCACTCGGATCTGACGCCCCGCCAGTTCCTGCATTACACAGTCAACACAGATCAGTCCATCGCCTACCACACCGGGAAGCGCTAAATATCCACACACTCCCTAGCATGCGCAAACAAGCTTACGAAACCACAAATTCTCACATACCCGGCCATCCATCTCCTGGAGTGCCACTTCTGCCTCCTCGGGTGATGTGAAGTTCACGAATCCGAAACCCCTAGACCTACCGGTGTCCCGGTCAAGAATAATCTTCACTGCACATCACACCATTCCACACCAAAACATCAGTTCATCTCTTAACAAATACGCTCTGCTGCCGTCACTCCATATCACCCAATCCCGCCTAACACTTCGCCGCCTCATGCCGGAACAACGCCCCACTCATCCTCACTCGCATCATCCTCCGTCAAACCCAAACATAGCATCGAAAACGGTATCCGTACCTTCAGTAACCGTTCCAAACGAACTGAAGGCGTCCCTCAACGTGTTCTCGTCGGTTGCCCACGCAAGACCTGCACGTTCCATCACCAACTCAATTATAATCAACACCGCGCACGTCCCCGCCCGTGCGCCGCCACAACATCGACGACGGCGGCGCATCTACACACCCGCAACGCATGCATTCGGGTGCACGCGCCCGCTCCGCCCCATCCAGACGCGGAACAACTCCACAAGCTAACAGCTCCAAAACCCTAAACCCCAGAATCCCTCCCTCCAAACCTAAACTCACCACGATGGGACTCATCTGCCCTCCCAAAAACACGATCACGACACACACGCACGAAAAACTTACCTCCAATGAAGAGCTTGGAGCTGGACATCATGCGCTGCGCGACCAGCATCGCGGGCACGGCAACCGTGGCCGAACCCAGACCGGATGCCGTCAAGACGGACTGAGCCGCGCTCCTGCGCAACAAGCCTCCAAGCTTACCAAAGTACGCCATCACGGTGTTTGATCTTCGTCTCCCCACGCAGCCTGGCCACCGCAAACACGAGTCGATCGGGAGTGATCGAGAGCGGTACAGACTGAGAGAAAGAGATGTAGATCAGGCAACGAGACCGACTCAAGAGGGCGAGGTCTGAGGAAAACGGAACCCAGCTTCAGCGGCGGGCCAAAAAGGAGACGGTGGAACCTACACTGTACAATTCCTACGAATTTCGCCGTAGATGTAAAAAGTAAAAGTATCAACATCTCTGATTCAGAATGTAAAGTCAGTTGCGGGGTCGGACTAGTTAAGAGAAACTACAAGCCAAGACTTTCTCGTAGCTCTAATCTGTGCTACTCCTAACTGGGATTTCAGAGTTGCCAGTATTGCCTGTGACATTACTGAAAACCCAACGAAGAAAAAAGCCAAAAAATCACTTGACGACCTCTCGAACCGCCGAAAGAGTTAAAGCAAAAATATCTCAAGCGCGATTTAAAAGGCAAGTTACAATCGCAGCCGTCGCAGGGATCCAACGGCCGCGTCAGTTCCAACCACAAGCCAGTTTAACCGCTCGAGGTGTGCAACTGCAGTGCACCTTTTGGCCCGCGGCTGTAGAGGAGTTTCTTTTTCCTCTTAGTTCTCGCCGTCTTCACTTGGACTCGCCGCCCCGCCTCTGCCTCTTTCCCTCTGTCTCGACCGCGCTCTCGATCACTCACGATCGATTCGTGTCTGCTGAGACCGAGCTGCACCGGGTGCTGAAGATCCTAAACCGTGATGGCGTACTTTGGTAAACTTGGAGGTTTGCTGCGCAAGAGCGCCGCTCAATCTGTCTTGACGGCATCCGGTCTGGGTTCCGCCGCGGTTGCTGTGCCCGCGATGCTGGTCGTGCAGCGCATGATGTCCAGCTCCAAGCTCTTCATTGGAGGTATGTTTTTGGGTGTGTGTGCGTGCGTGTGAGAATTGCGATCATGCACCCGGTATGGTAGTTGATTCCCGTCGCTATGGGCTTAGGTTTGAAGGGTTAGAGTCTGGGGTTTAGGGTTTCTGGGCCATTTCGCGTCTTCTCATGGCGGAATGGTTGCGATCAGCCGACTGGATGTGTTTTGCGGGTGCGGACATGCGCCGCCTTCTTTGATGATGTGGCGGCGCAAGTGTGCGCAGAGTGTTTTGTAATGAGGTTGTCATGTGGTTTGGAACGAGCAGGTCTTGCGTGGGCGACTGACGAGAACACGTTGAGGGACGCCTTTAGTTCGTTCGGGACGGTGACCGAAGGTATGAATGCTCACTGTGTTGTAATGTTTGAGTGTGACGCCTTTTTGGGATTCGTTGTTCCTGGTGTGAGGTTTAATTGGTGGAGCAGCTTGGGCGATGGAAGATATGATTGAGGATGAGTGGCGCCCTATTTCGTGGTTAGGCGGCGAAGGGCAGGTGGGATTGGGTGTAATGGAGTGGCGGCCACAGGTGGCTTTTGTTTAGAGATGTACTGATGTTTTGGTGTGGTATGGTATGGCTGTGCAGTGAAGATCATCCTGGACCGGGATACAGGGAGGTCGAGGGGTTTTGGATTCGTGAATTTCACATCACCTGAGGAGGCCGAAGTGGCTCTCCAGGAGATGGATGGACGGGTACGTGGTCACTTGTAGTTTTGCGAACTTGTGTGCACCTGCGAATTGCAGAGACGAGAGAGCGGGGTTGCGGGTTTGTGAGTAGGTAGCGCGGCCCACTATAGTAGGAGATGTATGCGGCGTCGTGAGTATGGGAGTTTCGTTTTTGGATCAGGTGATAGTCTGTTCATGGTCTGGTTGATGGGATGGGTCATGCAATAGGGGCCACGGGGCATTGCAACGAGGTAGGGGTGTGTATGTGTGTTAGATATGAAGAGTTGGATTGCGATGGACTGATCCTTGTTGGCTGTGTAATGTAGGAACTGGCGGGGCGTCAGATCCGAGTGGACTACGCCACTGACAAGGCGAGAGAAACTCGCGGAGGCGGCGGCGGGTTCGGTGGCCGTGGAGGGGGTTATGGCGATCGGCAATCGAGCGGATACGGCAACAGGAGAGATCAGGGCGATGGGGAGAGAGGGTACGGAAACAACTTCTGAGGACGGTGGGTTGCCGAAGTGGGAGTCGTCGAAGGGTGAAGGGATTTTGGCAGCGCTCGGCCAGAGTGCAGCGTTTGGTTCCGCCGCCCGTCCGTTTCCATCCCGCGCCCCCTTCCCTACAGCTAGTTCGACTAGTCGGAAGCAAGCGCAAGAGAAGGCCTGTGCTAGAGCGGCGCCGTGGACACGACGAGTTTGTGATAGAGACTAGAAGGTTATGATGTGATATGTGGAAGAGGGTGCGGATTGGGGCAAGTGAGGAGGGAGGCAGCACAGGCACCCTTAGAGCGGGGGCCGTGGGAATGCCATGAATGCCGCGTGCGGGTAGATGCAGGATGTGGTAGGGATTGTGCGGAGGTAGGGGCGGAGACACGCGGTGGGTGGAAGTGACAGGCGATGGAGATACTGAGGAATGAGAACTAATTTTTTTTTTTTAGAGGAAAAGACGGGGGTATCATGTATGGCTTGTGGCAGAGGTGGAGAGGGTAATGGTTGCATGAAAGAGGATAAGTGCATGGTGTGTGATTATTAGCTCGCTATGCCTTTATTGTAGAAGCATTTCTGTGTTTGATAATTTGCTGAACACGTGTGCTTTGGTCTTAAATTTTTATCTTTCTTATAGCTTCCTTAGTGGGGTTATACTCCTAATCGTCGCGTGAAACAATGGTGTGGTTTCGGTTGTGACGAGTGGGCGAGTATTGTTGGAGTTTTTCTTGATCTGTACTCAGGAGCTTGAAATGCGAAATTTAGGAGTTCAGCAGCAACATGTCGTTTTGAACCTGAATTGAAATTTCATGTTTATGACCAACTCGATATGCCCAGATCCTGTTATTGTGTCGAATAGGCGTCTTCATTGTGTGTGCGAATCACGGCATCTAACCTGTCCACTTTTTTACTTTACTTGATGGCTTTGAATCTCATAGTTTTATTTAGTGCATATAAATGTTGTTTACATTGTTCGAGGGTTTTGTAACTCGGCGTGCCCAACACTGACGAACGAATTAAGATAGTTGGGTTGTCTAATTCCACCTGAAGTTAAACAATATTTTTACATTTCGATTAAACTATGCAACTTAGCAATGTCTGCTTGCCATCCCGTAAACAATCCATCGTTGACATCACGATGCTACCAAATACGAATGATGGAACAGGTGATTAGCATTGTGAATTTCTTGTGTCTGCCAACTCCTCGGCCATGGGCCGGAGCGTAGGTACCCTGCTTATCCCTGGTACTGGATGTACAGAAAATCCAAATAGCTCCTCGTATCAGAACAGTTTAATAAATCCTAAATCTTTAACCTTGTCTAATTGCTCAAAATTGGTTATGTATTTCTATTTTTAAGTCTTCAAACCCTGCACCCCTCCTATCAACATTTTAGCGAATGAAGTAAATAGGTCAGAGCGGAAGCTGGGTACCTGTTCTTCAATATTGGTGGCCATGTCGTGTTGCAAGCTCTGACGTGAGTGTAAAAGACGCCGTGTCCCCGAACCCAATGTCTATCATCTACAAAGAAGTTGAATTTTTCGAACTAAAATGTTAACTCTATTGTAGGGCTGCCTGCAATATGTGTCCTACTATTAGAAAAACTCGTTCCTTGCTGAAGCATGTCAGGGGACTGGCTTATATTTTTAAAATCAGGATTTGTTGGTGAGAATCGAGAAAATGACTCTGATAGTTTTAACGAAATTATCTATCAGATGCAGTAGGGATGCTTAACGTCAAGTAGGATCTCTTTCGGCGCATAACATGCAGCAGATTTCGTGCTGAGGCGTTTTCACATAGAAGTCCCAGTGGCACCGCATCAAGAAAAAGCAGGGGGAAGTATGCAACTGCCCAAGTACCACATGAGGCCCTGCCCCAATAGCCCAGATCCACGGGCACACCCCAGCTCGGGTGCACGGACTGGGTGTCGGGGCGTCGTGACGTCGTGGCGTCGTGGCCGCCCCTCCATCCCCGTCTGGTTTTGCTTGGGATGTCTGAATCAACTGCCTTTCCTCACTCCCTACAGTTCTGTTTGATGCACCCACCACTCATATCTCGCCTTCATCGCAGTGGCAGCTCCCGTCGCTATTGCAATGTCGCACTCTTCCTCACTGGACCTTTAACTCTCCTTTTCCTGTCAGCGCTCTCCTTCTGTGGTGCGTTTGTTGAGTCTGCCTGTTGTGGAATGTATGAACGTTATTTCAATTTTCGCAAGTCCTCCGCCAGAAATTTACACTTTAGCTTGCTTGCACTCGCTAAATTTCGTGCAAGTAGGTGTTTTCTGGATGTATGAGGGAATTACTACTTCCGAGCTGCCGGGATTCTTTCAGTACAGACTTGTGACTGGATTGTAGAAGGCGAGTGCACAAGTTACACGTTTGGAAAAATATCGACGATTTATATTTACGTTTTTTCGATTGCAGTGAGTCGATCTCGTTGCCATTGAAGGGTATGCTGACGTGAAGGAGCCATTATACTTTGCATGATGTTTTAGTGCACATATTTGCAAAAAGCGGCAGTTTCTTTCTAAGCTGTTGCGTTGACGCACAATTGAGCTTAGGTATGTTTGCTGGGCCTGATTAGCAGTTGAATTATGCTTGTCGGGGAAGAAAAGCAGATAATACCTGGCAACTGCATAGGAAAAAATGTGAGTGCAGTTTGTGCGGTTATGAGTGCGTACTCGCGTAGGAATGTTTGTTGCAGATAAGTTCAATTCTCCTGTGATAGCACTATGCATTGCGGGAGCGGACAGGTTGGTGGCAAATGGAAAAGAGGATGTTACTTAATGAGGGAGGCGCATCCTTTACAGCTTGTCACAAAATCTTGAAAGCTTAGTAATACTTCTCAACCAATTCATTTACATTTCTCAAGCTGGACTACTCTCTCCAGAGTAGGGATGCTGATGTTCCCGCATGTAGCCCTCGTTTTAGCGACAGACTTGAGATAGAAGGAGTGTACAAGATACTCCAAAGATGAAATCTACAGATAGAGAATCTTATCATGATTCCATTGAAAGGATAAAGAGTACGAAGGCAGACTGATTGCAGTCCATAGCAAAACTCTGTTTAAGTGAAATTTCTGTAGCGGCTATGGTGCATAATCTCTGCCAAGGATTTGACGCTGAGACTTGCATGACCGTGATAAGAAATTTGACGGGATAATTATTTTGCAATGTTGGATTCATAGCGATCTAATTTTAAAACAAGAGAGTATTATGCTTTACATGAAGGGTAGCCACCGAGATGAAAGCTTAACAACTCCCACAACCAAGAGCTTGATAGTTTTTTCAATATTGTTCATGAGTTCATTTAAGAAAATGTAGAATTATTAGTGGTTTTAAAGAAAGTTGGGCGTGAACTTGGCGACGAGTCAGTGCCAGCTAGAGGCCGTAAGGAGGCTTCACAATACCCTCGATTCGGAACGGGACTGCTTGGAACGGAGTTAGTGCCAGACAGCTGCAGGTACTGCATTGTTGTACCATGTGATTCTCGATCCTGTGGCAGAAGTTTTCGCTGGAGACGTGTTGCTCAAAGGATTGCAGGAGAAAGTGCATCGTGACCAGGACAAGAACGCACGGGAAACCGCTGGTGTGATGCTGGCCGTGAGGACTCTCTGGTTTGATGCCCGCCTCGAAGGAACACTTGCCCAATTTGACTCTAAGCCGACTGGATAACAGGTTGTCCTCTTAGGTGCTGGTAAGTGGTTTCTTACAGAATATGCAGCTTTTTCTGAGTTTCAAGGAATCGAAATCGGTCTTGTCACAGAGGTTGCACTAATGGCATTGTAAGTTCAAGTGCATACATTTCCAGGTAATGGTCCTCATTATCCTATTATGGCACAAGTTTAAACCTAGATGCCCTGTGTTTTGAGGAGTTACCTGTATCCTACCGCAGGTTTTGTTTGTTCAGGAAGTGGCTCATTGTAACGTCTGGTTTTTCAATGTAATGGGTGTTGCCTGGATCTCAATCGTGATCTGTTTGTGTGAAGGAATGGACGCCCGCGCATATCGACTTCGTTCAATTAAAGATTGTTCCGTGTTTGAAGTGGACTCTGCGAAAGTGATGCACTTTAAGGAGTCCATATTCCAGGCAATGGTGGAAGCGGGAGAGCACTTACCCATGCTTGAGGCAAAAAGCTTAAACAGAGTGGCTGACATCGCCACTGAAGATTGGTTTAACAGACGGAAAGCTACTGGCTTCAAGGCGCATCTACCCACAGTTTGGATTTTGGAAGGGTTTTTGTACTACCTGCAAGAATCCCGTGCAACAGAGACCTTGAGGTGCATTTCTCAGAATTGCTTGAACGAGACGGTGATGATGGCCGACTTCATGAACGAGTCTTCTACCCACTTACCCATGAGCTGAAGACTCATTTCTATTTTCACAGTGATTGGCCAGAGGATCTCCTGTCTAAGCTTCGGTTCTCTCGAGTAAAGGTCTCACAAATTGGTGACCCCGATGCTAACTTCGGACTCGTGAATGACGAGCTCAACCTTTTCCACCAAATTCGTCGTGTCTCCAGGCATGCGAAGGCAGATGTTAATGGCAAGCCTTACAGAAGGCTACTTCTCGTTGAAAGCTGGGCGCCGTGATTTCTCCTCCCACTCGTGAGTTTATGAAAATTATCCGGCTACCAGACTTCCATGACCCCCTTCCCGTAGTTTTGATATATGTTCATGTTCAATTGGTTCAATGTTGATTGCCAGCTCCCCGGGGGTACAAGCGTCTGTGTTGACTCTATGCAGTGGCTGTCTCTATCCTATCTGTTTAATGGCCCTTATTTTTGCATTTACTCTTGCAAGTTTTAAGAGGCACAGGTTCAGACGATCGCTAAATTATTTTTTCAGGTCTATAATGAGAGCTCTATGAAGCTGGCTCACTTTAATGGTTGCATTTCCGCCAAGTGTTCTCCACAACCACAAGAGGAGATCTTCACAGCCTGTGGCGGGCAGAGTCTGGTGCACAAAGTTTTTTTTGTTATTGTTTTTTTTTTTTTTTTTTTTTTTTTTTTTTTTTTTTTTTTTTTTGAAAAAACCTTGCTTTCTTTCAGAAGTTGAGTAATTGTTTTCTCTGTGAAAGTTCAAATGCGGTATGTTCTGCATTTAATATTTTCAACCATATCCAAATTTACTAAGATGTGCCTCACCAACTGACGGCTGCGCCCTGCAGGGATTGATTAAATTGCGTGATTATCATGCAAAAGATGGACCTGTTTTGGTTGTCACTCGCCCTGGCCAGAGTCAAGGTAAAAGTGATATTCTGAAAACGAAATCTCGGTTGTATCAATGAAAATCATAGAAGTTGAAGTCCCAGCATTCTTGAACAATGTAAAAATAAAATTGTCTTGATGCATTCCCCTGAAGGTGGCACAATGGTCATTCTGGAGACTATCCTGTCACGAACTATGTTACCAAGACTCTAACCGACCCCGACTCTCGAATGACATAGTCACTGACAAACCAGTCACTACAATGACCAAACCCATCTGAATGCTAAAATCGATGTGTAAACTGAAGCTGCCAATATTTAGTCGTTACATCTCCGGGAAACTATTGTAAAGAGCTGAATAGTTCCAAGGAGACTAAACCATTCGTCCATGATACATACACTGAAACTATTCCAAAGCACCCATGGCGCTCACTAAGTTCCACGGGCGTTAAGAATAGGCCGAATGAGCTCAAGAATCTGGACAACTTCCTCCATAGACGGCCTGTTGGAGGGTACATGGGAGGTGCAAATGAGCCCAAGCTTGATGACGGGAAGGACTTCATCCTCCGGATATGAATTCATGTGACTGTCCACGCAAGAGAGGGGACGACCCTCCTCCAGCAACGCCCTCACATGGTCGCACAAGATCACCACATCGTCTTCCATATACTCCACTGGTCTACGTCCAGTGACAAGCTCCAGAAGCAGCACCCCAAACCCGTAGACATCGCATTTCTCGGTGATGCGCAAGCTGGGGCAGGCGAACTCTGGCGCCATGTAGCCCAGCGCACTCTGGAACTTGGAGCTCATGACGTAGCTATCGAGGGCAGGTAACAGTTTGGCCAGGCCGTAGTCGGAGATGCGCACCACGTTGTTGTGGGAGAGGAGAATGTTGGTCGACTTGAGGTTGTAGTGGATGACTTGGGGATGGCAGCCATGATGGAGGTGGCCGAGGCCCAGGGCAGTGCCGAGCGCGATCTTGAACCTGTCCTCCCAGCGGAGAGGCGGCTCCCCGTCTCGTCTCTCGTGCAAGCGTCGGTAAAGGTTGCCGTTGGGGACGTAATCGTAAACGAGGAGCTGTAGCTGGGAGGTCCAGTAGTAGCCTTGAAGTGTGACGAGGTTCTGGTGGCTGATTTTGCCCAGAAGGTTAACCTCTCGCTCGAACTCTTCCTGAGTCTTCACGAGGCTTGAAACTAGGAGCTTCTTTACGGCCACGATGTTGCCATCGGGGAGGATTGCTCGGTAGACTGTCCCGAATCCCCCCCGTCCAATCTCATCGTGCTTGTTTAGAAGTGCCTGCGCACTCCCTGCTAACCAGTCTTGGTTGTTGGCCTTCTGCGGCAACTTGTACAAGACGAGTCTTCCTAGCGAGAGATGCTCATTGCTTGGTGACTGAGGAACGCTTTCGATCCCTCTCCTGGCGTTACGCTGCGCTCTTGTTTGGGCGCGGATGTTGAGCACGGTCACGAGGATCACTCCCACAGCAATGACAGCTGCCGCAGAAATGGCGATGATGGCAGAGATACTGAGCACAATTTCTCTTTTCACATGGACGAGGGATGTGCTATTGGGGTTCAACACAATGGGCTTCGGAGTGCCCGGGGGGCATGCCACCCCGATCAAATTGCCACACAACCCAGGGTTACCTGAAACTTCGCTTGGATTAGAAAATGCTCCGCTGTTGGGAATGGGACCCGTCAAGTGGTTGAAGGAGATGTTTACCTTCTGCAAACTCTTCATGTTCTCGAAGCCGGGGGGGATGTCACCCGTCAAGTTGTTTGACGACAAGTCCAGAAATGCAAGACTGGTGAGGTTGGTCAGCGTGCCTGGCATGGGGCCATTTAATAGGTTCTGTGCCAAATTCCTGCACGCAACCACCCAGTTATAAGAAGGGCTTTGAAACACTTTTTCATCGCCATGTTCCAAGATTCCGATGGCAATATATTTAAGCAAGGACACTGGAGTTTCGCTAATTGCAAAGGTGCGGAACAAGGGGTAATTTGGATGAAACAAGGCGTACAGCTAAAGAAATTTTACAAGAATGCAAGCGCTGAGCAGCTGCCTAGCTGGAATGGGATTACGCCACCAAGCTTATTACGGTGCAAGTCCAGCACAGTAAGACGAGCTGCGGATCCCAAACTGGGAGGGATGACTCCGTACATTGCATTGTTGCTGAGGTCCAGTAATGTCAGGGACGCGAGATTCCCAAGCTCTGCTGGTATGAAGGAGGAAAAACCATTTCCTGAGAAATTGACAGCTACCAGATTGGAGCACTGTCCAATCTGGGGCAAGAGCGGACCTTCCAGGTTGTTCTCTGAAACATCTAAGAATTGAAGAAAAGGGCAGTCCCCAGGCCCAACAGCCGGAAAATTACCCGTGAATCCGTTGCCTGCGACATTAAGAAACTGCACATTTAGGGCTAGCAGCTCTGGTGGTATGGAGCCTGTCAGATTGTTGTTACTTAGATCCAGGCTTTGAAGGCGCATGCAGGAGCCGATATCCACTGGGATGGTTCCCAGCAGAAGATTTCCAGATAAGTCCAGCACTTGCAGTACCTGCAGCTGCCCAAGCGATGTTGGCACTGCTCCTGTGAACCTGTTAGTGGCAAAGTCAAGCACTTGAAGCCTGTTTAAATGCCCCAACCAAGGTGGAAAGTCACCGGTAAGCATATTATTGCGTCCGTTGAGCAGGGCTAACGAAGTCAAGCTCTGAAGTTCAGGTGGCAATGTCCCAGATAAGCTGTTTTGGCTCACATCCATGGCCAACATGCCCCCACAGTTGCTCAATTGTGCTGGAATGCTTCCGGTAAGCTTATTGTCCATCAAGCTCAAGCTTGTGAGGCTCTTAAGGGCTCCAAGTTCGGCAGGTATGGTGCCCGTTAACATATTGTGAGATAAGTCAATATCCACGAGATTTGGCAGCTGACCGAGTTCACCAGGAATCTCCCCTGAAAGTAAATTGTGCGCTAAGCTCAAATCTGTGAGCTGAAAGCACGAGCCGACCGAAGCAGGAATGGAACCGTTGAGAGAATTTCCAACCAGGTAGAGAGACACCAGACTCTGACAACTAGTAAAGAAATCCTCTGCCATGGGTCCTGTCATGGCGTTGTTGGAGAGATCCAGGAGCACGAGGCTGTTGTTGTTCATGAACAGTGGAGTAATCACTCCATTTAGCTGGTTGTTGCTCACGTTCAGTTTGCGCAACATAGGTAGCCTTGCGACTTCGGCGTCAATACTTCCAGTCAGGTTGTTGAAGGACAGGTTGAGCGTCTGAAGCTCATCCAGTTTTATCAGGCCTCGCCCGATTTGGCCGATGAGGCTGAACCCAACGAGGTTTAATTCGGACACTCTGTTGATCAAGAAGCAAGAAAGAATTACCACCCCCATTTAGTTGCGCGCACAAACCCTCAAGTAAGCGACATGTACCGAAGGAAAAGCACATGCATCTTCTATTACAGCTTTCTTGAGTAGTTCCTTTGAGATATAAAAAAAAAAACAAAACAAAACAAAAACAAAAACAATTGAAAATGCATCACCAAAGAATGGGTGCATCACTAAAAATATACCCAAGGTTGTAAATATCACACGAGCAAAACATTCTGCTGCAAAACCCAGCTTGTAGCATTTTGGGTAGGGCTCAGAATCAATATTACCTGCCCGTGACACGGTCGCAAACAATCCCAGCCCAAGCACAGGGGCTGGCATCATCCTCTCGCCAGGAACGCAATGCCTCAGTAGGATCGTGCAACCCAGCTTTGAACGCCATTAAGCCGAGGACATCGTCGCTCATTGGCACCATTACCCCGGCACACCATTGCACCATCATCGCAGCTGCCAGCAGTAGGCACCGCCGCCGCAGCCATTGAAACTCCCCTTGCCGCATTGTATTTTTGTTCTCCTGTTTCTGTACACTTCCCCTCCGCGTATCTCTATCTCAAACCAACATTGTCCATGTTTGAATGCCACGACCTCCCTCTAACTCCACCTCCTCCACCGCCACGGCCATTGATCACTTCACACCCCCCGCGACACACAAGCCATATCTCGCTAAATTCCAAGGCTAACTTCTCCGTAGCCAACACTATCAATCAACGTGACCGCAAGCTTTCCTGCTCAACCGGGTACTCCTGACGACTGCACCTCCGCATGCTGCTGCTGCACCCAAACTATCGCCATCCTAAGCCAGTCCGCAACCTGCAGCGAGGCAAACCATATTCTCTCTCAACGTGACAACTTCGCACTCAGCTCCCGTGAAGGACAGGCTTAGCCCCCTGTAACAGCCGCGTCATGCTACCAACCCATAAACCCAGATGCCATCACTCCATCACTCTCACCCCACCCTCACATCCTCCTCCCCCCTGACATAGTCATCAACTCTCTGCTTGCAGCTGCTAGCGATGGCGCCCATCACCTCATTCACCACGCAGTTTGTACTAACCACAGGCTGCAGCTTGGGACTCACAAGCGCGGCAAGTGTGCGCTCTTTTTCCGCTACGAACCGACGAGTATCCTCACCATCAAAGCTGTCCTGGCGTGGCTGGCCAAATGACACCATGAAACCAGGAGGGCGACAGGGATTCAGCTGCAAAGCCTTCCTCCTCAAGCTCTGCCCTCACTAGTCTAGAACCGGACAAAGGCCGTCAGAAACAGACTATCCAATTAGTGAGAGTATGATTGAAAGCATTAGGCCACTCTCTCAGTCAAACAGATGCAGTCGCGTCGGTGATGTGGCTCACCAAAAACAAGAGTCAACAGCGCAAATCCATCTTTCTCTCCACTTCCATGATCACTTTGTTTCCTAAACACAAATACACATACATATGTATCAATAAAAATACAAATCAGTAAAACTAATACAAGCAAGGTTCTATGCAAAGCAGCTGCAGTTTACTACGAATGTAGGACTGGGCTGGTTCCTTCTTCATCTCCAGCATGGTTACAGGAACCCGCGGCACGCCACGATGCATGGGGATGCGAGAATGAGTGTTGGATCTGCATTCATGTGCTTTGCTTTTGTCTTCTACGGGTGATTTTCTTTTCTGTCTGTGTTTCTTTCTTCTTTTCTCCTGGTTGACATCGTTTCCATGGAGTAAACAGGCCTGACTGCAAGCGATGGACGGTTTTCGCAGTTTCATCCACCAACTAGTTGAATTGATAAGCACCGTGCTACCTAACCGAACCTCCTCCTTCTGCTTCTCCTCCTACTCCGCATCCTCCTCGTCCACCGCTCCTCCACCAGCTGGGGTTCTTTATTGATCCCGTCAGGACTGTAATTGAATGGCATGCTTCGCTGTGCAAGAGTACTACTACTTTCCCAGTCCCCTTCTCCCGATTTCATCTTCCACCTTCTTGGCATGCTCATGACACTGCAGTAAATGTCCAGCGCATCTCCTCTATTTCTTTTTTCCTTTTCCACCCTTTTTAAATTTTTTTTATGACTACAGAGATAGAAAGACGACATGTGTGTATGTGTGTTGCCAAACCAGGAGGAAATGGTATCAGGTCTTCCTGGATTCTTCTGCGCGTGCTTTGGACCTAGTGCAGCTAAACTCTACAGGAAACCTGCCCACAACTGAAAATGAAGTGGGAGAGTAAATCACATATATATATATATATATATATATATATATATATATATATATATTTGTGTGAAATGCATATGCAGATGTCAGAGAGAGAGAGAGAGAGAGAGAGAGAGAGTCAGAAGAGTCTGGCTCGTGCAGCAGCGTGTGAGGGAGGGAGAGTGGCAATTGCAGAGGATGGCGAGGCAAAGTCTCTCTCTCTCTGTCTCTGTCTCTCTCTCGGTTCTTTCGGTTCTCTGGTGGGTCTTGCTTGCTTCACTAGCCGTGCCGTGCTTCTGAGCATGTGAGGGGGAGTTAATGAGCTGACACTGCGTCCCTCACGCCATTACTGTCCCACTCACTCACTCTCCTTGCCTCACCCCTCCCTCCTCCACTCCTCCTGATGCTGCTGCAGGGACGGACTATCTCTCTCTATCTCTCTCTCACACACTCATACACACTCCCTCTCACACTCGTTCTCTCTCACACACACAAACCAAATGCTGGGCCTCCCTTTGCTGCCATCACTCACTACTCTCCCCTAAACCATTCACAACCTCACTCTCTCGCACACTCTCTCATTTCTGTTCATCTTTTGCTTCGATGGTGGTGGTGGTGGTGGTAGTGGTGGTGGTGGTGATCCTCCTCCTTCTTTCGAGACCACTGTGGAGTTGCAACTGTGAAAAGGCTAATATAGCCTCGTGCATCAATAACACATAATACAATAACTTGAAGGGAGTGAGTGATTAATCGAAGGAAGAATGGAAGGAAGGATGGAAGGAAGGAAAGAAAAAATAAAAACAATAGTGTCCGGTTGTGAAAGTCCCGTCTTGATGAAGTTTTACAAGATGGGTTTGAGAATGAAGCATGGTTCGGAGCTTTGAAATCATTTACAGAAATGTTTCAAATGACTTGGATAATTCAATAATAAAATACGAATAAAAAAAGTACTGTTTTTTGTGCTTGGAATGAGTGTATTGAAAATTATAATATTTATCCAGTAAATCATTTTTGATACATTTTTGTTCGAGAAATTGAATTTGAATTGAGTCTAGGCAGTTTATACTTCATTTGTTGTATTATCATTTATTTTTATGTGCAGTATTTGGACTGACTTAAGCATTGATCTTGAGTGCTTGCAAATTCACATCTAACAACCTTACACAATTGCTTATATGTTGTGAATACTGAAACCATTGAGTGGGTCATTTCAAGACTTTTAGTGTGGGAATAGAAATTTGAAATGCAATCATGAAATAAACAGAAGAAACGCTGCCTCTTCATTCTTCAGCAGTTCCTATTAAAATCTACCTTGGCTGAGGAAAACTGTCTTGGAGGAAATTCTACTTATTTTGAACAAATACTTAATTTTAAATAGGTATTTCGGATAGGAATTCTAATTAACATACACAGCTTTCCTTTTTCATATATATGAAATTTTTTTCAGCTATATAATTATATATCCAATTAACATAATTAACATAAAATCATGTAGATATATATATATATATATATATATATATATATAAATTAACCAAAAAGTGAAATTATTCATTAATTTTTTAAAAGTCATTTTAGCCTTTCAAAAAAAAATTAAAAGAATATATAATCTTAATTAAATACTTTTTCAAATCTATAAACATGAGTATTTTAAATTATGAAATAGATCACTAATTTTACGTAAAAAAATAGGTTTCTAATACAAATATTTAGATGCACATACACTTACACAGAAATTAAAATTTCCATTTTGTTTGACATAAAATCAAATTTTCACGAAGTATTCAGAAGTTTTGTTTTTGAAAATCACATTTCACCATCACAAATTACTAATAACTAAAAGTATACTTAGGCTGAATTTTTTCCATTTGAAATTGAAACTTTGTATATTATGAACTTGTATAAAATAGAATTTGTAAGTTAAAATCTAAAAATAGAATAATTTCGAGGTAATCAACTTGAGGTACTGTTAATGAAATAACAATATATTCTACACAGAGTATTTCAATTTATTCATAAAAAATTATTTTAAGTTACAAACGTGCCAAAATAATGTAAAGTGTACTTCATTATTTCATAATTACCATAAATCTTATTTATAAACTCTTTTATTGTTACAAAACAAATCAGCTCAATAAAAGGAAATAGTATTTAGATTTGTTGATTTTTTTTCTTAACAGATTCAAGTATTTCAAATTTAAAATATAAAACAGTCCAACAATTCACAGGAGTCACAAGACATAGTAGTCAAGAGACATAGCATTTTTTGTAATAAAAGACAATCTTATTTCTTTTCTGATTGTCAATATAACTTTATTACTTTTGCACTCAAAACCTATCTGACCTTTAAAAATAAATATGAAATGTTAACTTTACATAATTATATCTACAAAAACATAAGATATTATGTATTCATTAACTTAGTTTTTAACAACTACAAAATTAACTTTATTATATAGTATAAGGTTCAAATTTCAATGATTTCAAACCAACATAATATATTCTTAGATTTTAATCACTTAGAACTATTATTTAGTATAAAAATATGTTGAATGTGCTAAAAACTAGATATAGTTATGTGTGAATAGTATAATTGAATGCAATTTTTTAGAATTGAATTAAAAATTATAAAAGAAAAAATAATTAATATATTTATTTTTTATTACTTAAGTAACTTAAGAATTAATAAAGATTTGATGAATATTAAAAATACAAATAAGAACCAATATTTAACTTAAACCTATCTTGCAAAATGTATATTGTATACAAACAAATGTTAAATTACAAAATATATATACATATATATATAGGATTATAACTTAAAATTCATTCTATTAAAAAATTGATTAATATAAATATTAATTTTTTATCATTAATTCAATAAAATATTCAATTTAGATTGTTTAGAAGTATTTTTGATAAATTATAGCTAAGAAAAATAAAAATAAAAAATTAACTTGACAAAATCATAATTAATCAAGTGAAACATGTAAACAATTGATTAAAGGAAAATTCTCAAATATATCCCTAATAATTTTACAAATTGCAAATATATCCTTGATAAATTTTTAATTTCAAATATATCCATATCATATATTACAAGGATATTCCTTTCAAAACAAGTTCCTTACAGAAATAGCAATTGTATTCAAATATAATAGACGTCAATATCAAAACTCTCATTGTCACTTCTCTATAACATCAAGCATCATCTTGTTGCCTATAGGACACATAAATCCACAAGGAGTGAAAGAGAGTGGCATTGGTATGTGGAGGCAAAGATTATTGTTGAAAAAGTGCAAGTCTTACATAAATTTCATAAAACTATGGACTTGACTATGGAACAAATTAGATAAGTGGTTTTTAGTTGGTGGTCTTATAGTGAGGACTATAATAGCAATTATAGTGAACAACATGTTTTGATATTGTTCTAAAGTTGTTCTCAATTCTAAGTCTTTTTTTTTCTAAGGTCATCCGGAAGGGCAATAGGTCTTGAATAGCAAGATGTTATCTTTGATTTCTTCATTGTTAGACCATTAACTTTCATCAGAAATTAGATGGATGTTATTTTGATATGTTTAGCAATAAGCTACAACCAAAAATTAATTGCTTGTAAATACTTGAATATTTTGACAAGTATATAACAGCATTGATACTCCATACCAATAAAAAAACCAAATAGCTACCATTTTTGGCAAGTGCATTGTTTTTTCCATAGATGAATAATTTTGTGTACTTCAAGTGAAATGCATTTAAATTCATGTTTTCTTGAGCTAAGAATGTGATATTGAAGAGCATTTGTAGTATATTTTTTGACTTTTTGCTCTATCAAAGAAACAAACACAATAACTAATAACTTTTGTCTTTTTTTGTCATCAATCAAAGAACCAAACTATATATTGTTGTTAAATCTTTTCCATGATGTCAATCAAAGGTAGCTCACATACTTCAAGAATCCAATCAATCAACAATTTTGCAATGTTAAAGGTTAAATATCCATATTATTGTTCCTAAAAAAGTATCGTTGGCCAAAACTCTAGTCTTGAATTTTGCATCTACTATGTTGCTTCTACTAAAATTGAAGTTATTTTTCAAAGATGTTCTTTATATTCTGCCACAATCACTGCAAAAGTTGCATTCCAAAGCAAAAGAATGAGCTATGAGTTTTTAAAAATTTGGCAAAAATTCTTAATTAGATGTTGAATGCATAATCGATGGTATGTCTTAAGAAAAGTAGTCTTAGTAGCTTCAATAAGTCTCTTTATCTATGTGACAAAAAAATAATTGTTTTATGTATATCATTCTATTTAAAAATAATATTTTTTTTTAAAAAAAATCATTGTCAATTTTTATTGGTTTTTGCACCAATAACACTAAAAGCAATTGGAAGCAATGCACTGTTTGCATCTACTTTTATAGCATAAAGAAGTGTTCTCACGTACTTGCTTCTTAAATAGATTCCATCAATACCAATTATTGGACAATAGCCAGAAATAAAGCCTTAAATTAATACATAGTAAACAACAAAAAGTTAGCAAATTGACACTCTAGGTATCTAGTTACATATACAATTGCTTTGTTTCTAAGGTTTGTTGTATTGATTTGCTTACAATAAGCTTACAAACACTAATAACCCTCCTCAAAACTGCCATAGATTGTGTTGACTCATGCTCTTTTGGCTTGCTAGGCTTTTAAAATATAAGATGGTAACTCCATGCTCTTATCTTAAGTCTTGAATAATCTCTTTTGATGCATATTTGGTAGATTCTTTTAATTTACCAACAATGCAATTAGTTGCCTAAAGAGTAGTTGCTTATTGATTTTTTAGATGTACAAATTCGCACAAATTATATTCATCATTGTAACTTCTGATAGTTGATGTCTTAGAGTCTATAAGCCATATTGCATAGAGTCTCCATGTGTAGTTTTTGAAAAAAATACTTGATTGTATATCTATGCATGTCAAACTTGATAGTGGTTAGTTCAAAGTTATTAGAAATAGTTGCCATGGCAACAAATTGTGTAATGACAACTAAGTTCTCAAACTATTGGTGAATAGTGAAAGAGCTATCTATGAAGAGAGAGATGGATAGTAAGTGGAGGAATACGGCATATTATAACAAAACACATGGATAGGAGGACAAGAAACAAGATAAGAATTACAACAAGAAGTGAGACAAGGAGCACAATGAAGTGCAATTAAAGTATGTTAAAGTAGTTCAATCTTTGCACTACTTTAACATGCTTATATAATTTATAATTTATACAAAAGATATATTTGCAATTAAGAATTTGACAAGAATATATTTGTAATTAAAAAAAATCAAGGATATATATGTGAAATTTGTAAAATTATTAGAGATATATTTTAGAATTTTTCTTGATTAAATTACAGTTTCTATTTCATTAATTGTAATGTTTAGAGCTTTAAAGAGTTGAAATATTCCGCCAACAACATAAAAAGAGTAAGTTGAATCATTACTTTATTATTCTGTGTTTTTTGTAAAGACCTTCATATGGTCTTTGGAATGATTTCTTTCACTTTATACCACCAAATAATAAGACATTTTAGATTAGATTTTTTTTCTTTTGACTAAAATAGATTTTCAAAAATAATATAAGACACTTTAATGATGGTTTTGTTTTCTTCTTAATTTTTGTACTTTACTTCTAAAATTTAAAATTATAGCATTTTTAGATTAGAAATCATTATAAACAATATCTTAAGAAATATTTTGTATAAACTATAAACTAGGCTAAATTTGCTATAAGAATAAGATTAAATATTTAAATAATAAATTATTTCATATAAATAATATAAATTTTTTTAAAAAAATTTAAAATATATTATCTTAAAATTTTGAAAGCTACTAAAATTTTAATTTAAATATTTATAAAGTAAAAAGTAATTAAAAGATTAATCTTAATCATATTTGGTGCTCAAAATGATTTTTTTTAAAATTATTATATTTTTTTCTTATTTATGATTTTTATTTGTCTTATAATGAATTATTGCTTATAAGAACATCAAAGTGGATACCCCTCTTTTGTTGTCCATGCACTCTTTCATATACACAATAAGACTTTTATTTACACTATAATTTTTTAGAATAAATTTACAATAAAAGATTCTCTAAATAAAATTAATAAGATTTTTAAAGTGAATGAAAGAATTATAAAATATTCTCTATAATTTTTTTCACTTTAATATGAATAGATAAAAGAAAATAAGAGGTGGAATAAGCAGTTAATTATTTTTATTGCTTTTAACAAACTATTGAATTGACATTAGAGAGATAGAGCTATTTATGAAATAAATATCGTAGACTAAAAAATAAAGACTTAGATGGCTCTATAAGATCCAAATATAAAACAAATAGCATAACATTTGTTACTATTTAAAAATATAATTTCAGTAATATTCTATAGTAATAATAATCATAATATCAGATTAATAATAGTTCTTTTACTTTTAGGACTTGTTACTTCTTGTTTCTTGTTTAATAGGATAAGAAAAGAAGATACTCTTTAAAAAAAAAAAAAATGTTTTTTAACTAAAAACAAAAACATGTTTGTTGTATACATATATGTGTACTTTTTAATAAAATATATATCTATATATATATATATATATATATATAATAGCATATTAATTAATATACTGTATGTATGTATATCATATTCTGTTTTAAGTTTTTTAACTGCTTTAAAATAGATTTTATTTCCTAATACCTCTTCGTTGTAATAGTTAATACCTCTTCGTTGTAATAGTTAATACCTCTTTGATGATTAAATTGCATGTGCTTTAATTACTTTATTTCAATATATATAATAAAAAAATATAATAAAAAATATGTGTATATATGCATACATATTTTAATAATATATAATAATGTTCAATTTCTATTTGAATCTCCTATGTTTCAAAATATTAATCCAAGTAGAAAATTAATTTTTTAAATACTAAAAAGAATTTATAACTAAAATTTTAAAATTGGAAGAATATTGAGTTCTGGGAATTTTGTTCAGAATTCCAATACAATAAAAACTTATAAAAATAAGTTAGATGTCACTTTTGGTAAGTAATTGATTTGGATGTGATATATCATTTGTTTGTGTAAATAAGTGAACACAGAAGTGTCTGCATGTACGTTGACGCAAACAAAAATATAAATTAACAATCTAAAGGATTTTGAAATGTTTTTTCCACTCTAAAAAACAATTATGGGTTTGAAAAAAATATATTGGGTACTCATTATCTATGTCTTGCATGAAGAAAATGATAGTTTTTGAATTTTTTAAGGATAATGGTCTTGATAAAATCGAGAACATCAAACTCAACAGTTTATGTAATACAAAGAATATGTTTAAAAAATGCTAAGTAATATATATATATATATATATATATATATATATATTGAATAATTTTAACGTATCAACTGTTATTTTTTACTCATTGATTTTGCATAATTTTTAATAAATAATTCTTACTATGAATAAATTTTTCAAAAACAATAAAGACTTGATCTAAATATTTACAAATTGTGGAAGGTTTTTTAAAGAAAAAATTGAATAATGCTATAAATGTGACAAAATTTGCCATTATAAAAACCTCTCACCAGAATGACTAAGATATATATATATATATATATATATATTACTTTACCCAAAACATTACTGGCTTAAATAATTTTAAAACTGCAATTTTATAATTTCTTGGGCCACTGATATTTAAATTCAAAACAATTCTGTAAACAATCCATCAATTTTCAGAAAACCATTTATTGTAAATTATAGAAAATAACATCAAGTAATTTTTATTTGCTAAAAATACTCAGCACAACAAAAATAATATAAAATAAAATGATAAAAAATCCCAATTATTTTGTCAAGCAATGATAAATATTTGAAGGTTAATATGTACATGTGTTTGCATATGTATTTTTATAAACACGTAAAGTTTGTGAATATGTAATTATAGCACGTGATTGTATGTGTATGTGTGTATATATATATATATATATATATTTGTTACTTGTCATGCTAATATGTATAAATTTGGATATAAACAAACTACCAGTGACAATGATAAAAATATAAAATCTACCAAACAAATATGCACAATAACAATAAAATTTTAAAAAATAAACTAAATCAATATGAGTGTGTTTTATTATTATATAAATAATGTATGTGTCCTATTAGAACAAGTTAAACATATCAAAAAGTGCATAAAATTTCAATAAAAAATGAACCAAGTTTTGTGAAACATTTTGAATATAAAAAAACAATAACTACTTTCATGTAGAAGCATGATTTACAAACATCAGAAACATCTCAAGCATAGTAGTATGGTAAAACAGCACAACTTCCCAACTCACCATGAGGCTTCAAAAATTAATATTCTAATCAGTATTCACTACATTAAATTATATCAGTGGAAACCACACTAATTTGATACGTAAAATGCGTTCTTTCACAGAAACATTGAATAGAAAAACTCCAAAACAATGTGATTAAACATTTTCGGTGCTTGAAAGCCAAATGTGGGGAACACAAGCGGGGAACAACTGGGCTCCCGTTCCCCGTTTTCGTTCCCCAGGCAATGGGTGGGGAACAGAGCAACGGAGAACGGCGACGGAAGGTCAGTCAGAGCGTGTGACGAAGAAGCTTGGGCGCCAGAGGCGCTGTGACGATTGCGAGGGCCGAGCACGACGATCTGTTTTGCACCATCGTGTTGGTGGGTTCTGTTGCTCTCTGCGCAATTGTGTCGTGCACCTAAGAAAGCCCGTTTTTTAAAGTCCTTATTATTGCATTTTTCGGCCTCGGAAGAACCGCCGGTGAGGTCTTTCCTTCTGTCATAGGTCGGAATCCTCCAGCCTCGCCTCTGGATCCCCCTCTTTCTCTCTCTCGCTGATTGTGGAGGACTTCGGCGTTGCTGCGGCCTTGACGTCGTTTGTGGTTTGTGACTTGATTTCTGTTCAAAGCTCGGGAGCAATTGGGAAGGAGTCTCGTCTGTCAGTTCGATTCTTGGTTTTTGGTTGGTATGATTTTTTGAAACCTAACTCTACTTGCCTACCGAAATTTATGGAGGGTTCTCCCGCTTTGCCTGGTTTCTTCGGCCATGAAATCGCAAGGCTGTGGGGTTGCCTTGTTGCATTGTCATTGGTTGCCAAAATACCAATTATATATATATATATATATATATATATATATGTATATGTGTGTGTGTGTGTTTTGCAGAAGCAGCATGATTGTTTCGCGAGAATATATATATCGGATTAAGCACCAACTTGCATGCTCATGATCACTATGTTTTTCCATGTGAAGGTTTTGGAATAGATGCCGTTCTCGTGCTTTCGCTCATGTGTCAAGTATTTCTCAATGTGTGGTGCTTGAGTTATTTTCTGTTATTGAGAGCACGTTTTAGGTTAACTGGTATTTGCAACAACCGTTCTTGATAGACCAGCCTATAGAAATCACTCGTACCGTGCCAAGTTCAGTCGGACTTTCTCCGTAGTTTACAATGACTCGCGGGCGTGGATTAGGTTTGTGCATGAAAAGTTTTGAGTTTCTGAAGATTGCTTCATCTTTTTAGTTTCATCGTGAATTTCTATCGATTCACGTCGACGCTGTGCGTGCAGAATGCGGGCACAGAGTCTCTCGTGGGGACACAAGTGCATAGAGTGTCTGCGAAGCTGTCGTGGTCTCGGCAGGGCATGTTGGCAATCACTGCGTCTGGGGTCAGTGCTCTTAGAGGGATCGCGTTGGTGAAACTTTATTGCTGCGAAGGGTGGTCGCTTGTGATGATGGAGTGACTGGGCACCGAAACCCTAGATATGGTTGGAGGAGGGCAGATACAGAAAGTGGACGCAGGGCTGAATTCCGAAGCGAGGGGTTGGATTGCTTCCCAACAAAGCGGGGATCCTTTCGGGGAAGCGCATGGTCAAGGACCTTTCAAAAGGCCTTTCTCACATGGTTTTGGGGACCCTACCAAGGTCGCCACAAGCTTGGACATAAATTACAGAGAGCATCATCCTCGTATGGAACAGCGCGCGCAGCAGGAGGGAGGTGGAGAAGGTACCCAGGTAGAACAGCGGGGCGTGTACGGGCCTCAACTTGGCCAAGAGCAGGAATGGAGCCAAGGGGACCGTGTTGGGGTAGAGTCCAATTACCAAGAGATGGCCGGTGTTGGAGGCGACTTGAGTGAAAGCGACGGATCGCAGAGTGAAGGCACCGAAGAAGAGGAAGATGAGGAAGACGAGGATGTGGAGGACGATGACGACGACGATGAAGACGAAGACGACCCCAATGAAGGGGATATTGCTGATAATGAAGTTCATGGTGGAAATGAAAAGGGCGGTCAAGTAGTTACTGAGCAGGTTGGAGGGGTGAGTAGTGTTAGCCTCGGACCGAGCTTGCCGCTTTTGCATTCTTCAATGGGAGCCCTAGATCAATCGGGACAGGTACGACAAGAGCCAGTGAGAGCAGATGGAGCATTTCACAGAAACACTTCGAAGCCTTCTGTCGGGACGACGGGGACGAGCAATTCGCCTTTTGGGATGTTCCATTCTCCATCCTCAACGGTGCCTTTCTTGAGTTCGTTCCCTTCACCCTCCAACTCAACTCCTCAAACAGGAGTAGGAGGCCACACTGATGTGACGCCCTGTCAGAACGGAAGCGGAGGGGGAGTTACCGGATCAGCCTCGGGCGCCTCATACTGCCTGGCCAGAGATGGCGGGCTTTCGCGAGATGTTACACGGGAGGGACTTCGGGAAAGTGCGGTGGTGACACCTTTGCAAGAAACCCCTAGAAGACCGCAAGAGCCACTTCATGAACAACTGCAAACAAGTGACAACGACAATTATTATACCACGCTTTTAAATACACAAGTGTCTCCAAACAATGGCATGAAGAGAACGGATTCTGCGTCGGGTCCGAACGGGGATCCACAGTCAACTGCCGAATCGTCGTTGCGGCGTATTCTTTCAGACCCCCTCACGTGAGACACATCTGCTTAATGTCATTCTCTGTTGGTTTTCACCTTTCTTGTTCCCTGATTCTTATGCGACATAGGTCTAGTGGCTCGATCTCAAGTTCAGATTATCGATATTCATCGTGCCGAAAGTGTTCCAGTGGATGAAGGTCCGAGGCCGTTGGATTGTGGCCATTTTCACCACCTCGTCTTGGTTGTGATTGCATGGCCTTTACTTCTTGGCTACAGCTTTATAAGGTTCCTAGTCTGTTACAAAGCTGAACATTGGTATGAAGAAACAGTGCTGACGGTGCCTTGATTTGTTTCAGGGGTGCGCTCATGGATGATGCTATGATTATATCTTGTGGCCATTCCGTGGGAAATGCTGGACGAAAACAAGTTATGGAAACTGTTAGTTCCAACCTTTCCCTACTCAACATTAGAAAGGGTCGATCCATCTTCTTTTGCGAGGAAACTAGACTTGTTTACATAGTTTTGCTACTAATTAGAAGCACGGCTTCCTTTTGCTGCATTTTCCCAGCATGACATATTGGATGACATGGCAGAGTGTGTGCATTATATGTGGAGCTTCGGTGCGAACAGAAGCTATGGCTCCAAATTACGGTATAGTTTGGCATCTGTTGCTTATGGCATGTTGATGCCGCATTGCTTTTTAGTTTGCTGCCGTGCTGTAGAATACTCGGAGTGATTTTATTCCAGCCGGATTACGTCAGTTCATGAAGGAAAGTTTTTGTGTTTGCGAGGAATAGCGCTACGCATGGTCGTACAAGCATTTAAGCGTGAGGAAGAAATAAATGGTACACTAAGCCTACGATCTGCGAAAAGGAGGAGGGAGACAATTCAGGTATCTGATCGACCATTTGCCGTTTAAACATCACGTCGTATTGCTGTTTTGTTTGTTTCTTGGGGTGGTCTGAAAGCTGCAGCGTGGGTAGGTTAGAAATTACCTTTTCTTCAGGCATTTCCGGTTTCTCAACCACAGATTTATAGAGTTCAGGGATACCTTTAGGTTTTAGTGCTTTTTATTATGCCAGGCTTCAATGTGCTATAGTTGCAGAATGAAAGGATTGACCATCTCATCTTGTACGGGAACATAGGGTCTGTGAAGTCTGTGTCGCTACTTAAAGTGGGTTCATATTTTACCTGAGCCCAAATAGATAGGATCTTTATGCTAAGATTTGCGTTTGAGTATCTTGCAGGAGAATGTAAGCTTTCCAGAACAGCCTGTTGTAGATGTTGGAAAGGTGAAAGGAGTACAATTTCCATTTGTTGTCGGTGACCAAGTGATGATCAAGGTAATGAATAAACTAAAGTTATATTGTCTTTTCTTCCGAATTATTTGCTAATCTTCCAGTCACTGGCCTTTCGTTGTTTTGAACTCACAATTTTCATGTTTGTGATGATTTCAGGGTAACAAACGAACACCAGAACGGTTTGTTGGTCGGGAGGCTGTCATCACAATCCAGTGTTTGAATGGATGGTTCGGCTCAATTCTCTCCATGTTTCCTTCATTATTCTACTGATCATACTTTCAAGATTTCTTATCCTTTTGAGATAGCGTCTCAATGGTTTCCTCTTTTGTGTAGGTACCTGGTACGAACATTGGACAGCGGAGAGAGCGTCCGTCTTCAGTATAGATCCCTTCAAAAAGTGGCAGGTCAGACGCTTCCCAATGCTGCTGAATACAGACCCAGCTAGCTGAAGGTGGTGGGCTGAGAGAAGTGTTAATGAATTATTGGAAACAATCAAAATCTCTTTCCAGAATGAAGTGTTGAGATTCACTTCCGGCCTTGCCTTTGTGATAGTGTAACTTGTGGTGAAGGACTTAAAAAGAATGCACCAGATTTTTCTGGCATTCTTGAAGGATTGCAGGCCCTGTTTGTCCATATCTTGAACGTCACGGATGTTAAATCGCACAGACCAGATGCATCTGTGTGCATCTACGGAGGTGTTAAGTTTCAGAGAGACCCTGTTGCAGGATCATGGGAAGGAGATGATACTGCAATTGCAGAGTTTGCAGGTTACAAACTTGGTGTTCTGTGCGTACAGTAATTTACTCGGCAGAAGTGGGCAGATCTTTCTCGAGATCTGCAGCAATGTTACTCCTTTGTCGGTTATGAAAGTGGGACTTTCTTTTCGTACCATCTGGAACATCTCCACCAATGCCTCCACGAATGGATTCCGGTGTCTCCGACAGCAGAGGTAGTTCTCCAATTGCAACTCCTGATATTCGAGAAGGCAATTTGATATTGTGTTTAAGGATGTCAGAAAATTCGGAATTTATCACCCTGTTGTGGATCTGATTGTCGATATTGGTAGAACGTGACATTCATTCTAGCATTGTAGGCGTTTTTTTGTGCAGTAAGACATAAGTTTTTTCAGAAAATGTTTGCGCATCTCTTTCCCGGTCTTGCTATTCAGGAAAGGGAGAAGTCCCCAAGTGTAGCTGCGCTGCTTCAAGGTATCGGTACTGTTCCATAGCGACAGTCCGAGCTGGGGGAATTCCGTGAGGTAGATGCAAGGCAATGCATGGATTGGTCTTTGTGTTTTGAAACAAGGCAGAAGGCTGACTTTTGCGTCGGAGGTAGCACTGCAGTGTAGGTGTTGAGACCGGCACTAGGCTGTTGTGCCATCCTGAAACACTGAAGCCTGGAAATGACTCTTCAAAGCATGTGTGGCAATGACATAGTATTTGTTGGTTTTTTTAAGGGCGCGTATCCGGTTTTCTATGCCGGCTTTTGTACCACTTGGTCAAGCAGTCTGGTTGCCAATGACAGACTGAACGTAGGATTGAGTTGAAGTACACAATTGTTGTTTCTAGTGGCCCTTCACTGCTCCTGACCGGTTCCTGCCAAGCTTCACAACCCGTACTTGACGAACAAATGCACTCATTAACCCAATGTCCTATCTATCAAGGTTAACCTTACAGGTACTGTCTTTACTGTTATTATGTATCATTTGGGAGACAAGACACACAAGATTTGCATACCGCAGTGCTTTGCCTTCTTTAGGGAATGCTGCAGTTTCAATCAAATTATAAACTTCTTTCCCTACTGAAGCAAGCCTTGAAAGGCTAGTCCCACCGACTTTCCTTCGACTGAACCATAGTTTTGATTTACATCCAAAAAATTATCTTATTGTAATTGTTACTTTCTTATGTAGTGATCTGCCCCTACCACGTTGAATTTCATTCAAATGGTCCTTGTGATGTCCTTCCCAAATCACTGCTTTGTCACTCTCACAAACGACGTTTCATTATAAATGGCAACCTTGTGAAGCCTAAGTGACGAAAAGCAGCCCTTGCTTTGTCCTGTTTGTACTACCTTCAGACTTCCAATTGCACATTCAGTATACAACAATTGGGTTTTGTGACGTAGACAAAATAAGGAGAAAAGAAAGGGATAAATCCTTGGGGACATAAACAAGCTGACTTATTGGTTAAAGGATACACTTCATACACTTGAAAAGGAAATTCTAAAAGTGATATTTATCATCAAAAAAGAACAATTTTACTTGGAAATTTCAATAATGGCACAAGTGTGTAGTGTTTAACTGAACATGAAATGCCAATGTCACTGGGTTAGCATTATATGCCATAAGTATTGTTATTATTGTTATTATTATTGTTGTAGTTGTTATTTGTTAACTTGGAAAATCATTGGTTGAATTTGATAGGGAGGAGTTGTTTTACTAGATGCTAAAGTATTATGAATGATTTATCTAATTTATATAGCTTAATCATTGATATGATTTGTGATAGCTGAAGCATTGAACTACTTTGTAGGTGTTTCAAATAATTGAAGAGGAGTCAAAAAGTTACATTGTATCTAGAATAGGAAAGGCAATGTTGTGGTTGCAAGATTGTTTAGGATTCAAATGCTTTTATTTAGGAACCATGGGAAGAAGTAAAAAAGGCTGTCTATAGGAGTTTAGTTTAATCTCAAAAAATAAAATATTGAATGTTTTTAGATTCTAGTAATTTGAAATATGAATTCTTAATGTTGTATTGTATTAATTGCAATGTATGGAGATAGAAAATAAAACAAGTAAAATTGTATTTTTGTAAATTTAAAGTTACTAGAATAAGTTCAACTTCTCATTATTAAGAGCTTTTTTAAATATTTTTTGAATTACAATCATTAATTTTATTTATTTATTTGATATTGTGTGTATATCCATTTTGCAATAAAAAAAAAACAAGAAAAAACAAACCCAAAGTAAATACCAGTTGGTTTTAAATTTTATGTTGAGGGCAAGATTCAATAAAGCATACTTAACAATTTGGACAAGACATAATCACAATATTATTTTATGATTTTTTTGATAATAAATATTTACAATTCAACAAGTAAAGTAGAGAAAAGATATATATAGATTTTTAAAACATATCCACCAAGCAAAGCATGCTCACTGTTTAGATTCTTTCAAGTAATATATGTTTTTTACACAAACATAATATGAATAATTATAGAGAGAGAACTCATTTTTATTCTTTGTAAATGAGTTCATTCATAAAGTAACAAAAAAATTGCCTGAGAAAATTAACACTCCTACACAAGTAGTATTTTATGTTATTTATTAATAATATATATATATATCTTGTGTACATAATATATGAAACATAACATACTTTTATATCCTATTGAACTTATATTTTACATAACATGTGTTTTAATTTTTTTAAGAAAAATGATTGAATGTTGGAAAATTCATGTGATTTAATAAGTAATCTATAATAAATAAATAAAATACATAAATAAATACATATGGGGAATTGTTAAATTGATCCATACATTTACTAAATCGACCCACTCATCATTGGTTGAGGATCCAACCAATATGGATCTGGCATTGGAGAATTTTTCGATAATGGTTACAATAGGTGTATAAATTTAGTAAATTATTGAGTCAATTTAAAAAATCACTGAATATATATATATATATATATATATATATATCAATTACTAGTCATTATGAACAACGATTTGATATTGATATTAAATTTGGTTTAGCTTTTTATAAAAGTGTTCTAACAACCACTTGAATAGCGATAACCCCATCAATCTTTACTAAACCATGTACCTTAAAATAAAAAAATTAGAGTATAAACCAAATGCTAATTCCGGCTGTTATGTGACAAATACCGGCAATTTGTGATACGAATACCAAAAGCAGTTCTCACGTCATCCCGACCGACGAATGAGTTCATTCAAGGATGACATTCGTCAAGCTCTCGAGGCGTGGGCTGCAGAATGGCGGAGTGAGAGAGAGTCTACATTGGCACCCCATTTTAGGGTTTGGGGTCTGGGCTCTCAGTTGCGAAGGAAGGATTGCCGGGACGGGACCCTCACCACCAATTTTGCAGCTTCAGGTGAGTTCGTGCCCTTCTCATCAAGCCCATCTTTCCTCTTTCTGTGGCCGTATGCGACGATCGGCGTCTTCTTTGCCATTCTACTCGATTTTTTATTAGGCGAAGCAGTGATGGTGCGAGTTTTTTTTTTGTGTAGGGAGGGAGTGTAGCTAGGGAGGAACAAAATCATGGTGGATTGTTATCCGCGGACGCCTATCGCAATCGCAAAAGCCGTGCTCTGGGTATTGACAGGTGTGGCGTGTTTCGAAGTGGGGCGACAGCTCTCCTGGGAAAACGTCGAGTCCCAAGCCACTCGCACGCAGGCTCGTGATGCATACTTTGTGCAGAAGCTGAAGTTTCGCAAGTCCGGGGGGCAGGAGGAGTTTTAATCCAGGGTTTTGTGTTCGCGGGAGTGGAGGTTTTGCTTGGAGGATGGAAGAGGAGAAAGTAGAGCAGGCAGTGTTGGCCTACCTGAAGAGCAAGGGTTATCGGCAGGCTGAGCTTGCGTTTCATGATGAGCAGCAGCGGCTTCGTCACAGTGGCTCACAGACCTCGGACACTGCTATAGACTCCAGCATTGCCAACCCTATCCTGTTTTATGCTAAATCAGATAACGATCCGAATAGGTACAAGGAAGGCTACAGTAAGCTTCGGTCGTGGGTTTATCAGTCGTTGGATAGTTATAAGAACGAGCTTCTGCGGATACTGTATCCTGTGTTTGCGCACTGCTACATTGACCTTGTGGGAAAAGGATTCACTCAGGAGGCGCGAGACTTTTTGCAGAGGTTCAGAGAGGATCACGAAGCTTCCCACGTTCGAGATATTCAGAAACTGGAAGGTGTGTTGTCTCCCCAGCATCTGCATGAGTCAGAACTTGTGCTAACTCTGAGGAACAACAAACAAAGCGTGAAGATGTGTCAGTATTCTTTTGAATTGTTGCTACAATATTTGCACGGTACGGATAGCATGCTTATGCTGGGCATCGTCAATGAGCATTTGAACATTCACGTTTTGCCTGGTCCACCGTCGGCTCTGCCCAAAGACGATGAAGTCGTTGCACAAGGGACCCTTGACTATTTGAATCAGAAGGAGATCCGCTGGGGAGCGCTTGAGGATTCGTTAGAAGATAAATTTGAAAAGCATAATGCCGCAGCACTTCTTGAGAAAGATATGGCCGGGAAGAAAGATGGCGAGGGGGAGGATAACAAGGCAAAAGTTGATGGAAAGGCTGGAGGACCTAGCAATAAAAAGGCCAAGAAGGATAAAGCTAGCACAGCTGGTCCTGGGACAACTGCTAAGTCTGCAGGCCCTGGTAGTGCTCCTCGTGTGAAAGCTGAGCTTCCTATGCCCACCATGTCGGAGGAGGCGGAGAAACAAGTAATGGAGGATTTTCGGAAACGTGCTCGTCTGGGTAGTAATGCCCTGCCGTCCGTGAGCTTCTATAGCTTCATTAACACTCACAATAGTCTCAACTGTGCGTCCATTTCTAGCGATGGTGCATTAGTCGCCGGAGGGTTTTCCGATTCATCGGTTAAGGTTTGGGACATGGCGAAGCTCGGGGAGCAGAAAACCATCGCAGGGAGTGTTACACAGGACAAACCTCCCACCAATGGTTTCACAGAGACTAGAGAGACTGCGCTTGAAGGTTCCAAATCGTCCTATGCACTCCTTCAGGGTCATGCAGGACCCGTATATGCCGCCAGTTTCAGCCCAGATAGTGAATTTTTGCTCACTTCATCTGCTGATTGCACCGTGAGACTATGGAGCATGAGGTTGAAAACCAATTTGATGGGGTATAAAGGTCATAATTTTCCAGTTTGGGACGTCCAGTACAGTCCCGTTGGCCATTATTTTGCTACAGCTTCGCATGATCGGACAGCGCGCATCTGGTGTATGGAGCGAATGCAGCCACTCCGCATTTTAGTTGGCCACATGTCTGATGTTGATTGCTTACAATGGCACGTCAATTGTAACTACGTTGCGACTGGAGGCACCGACAACACAGTGCGGCTGTGGGATGTTCAGACTGGAGAATGTTTGCGTGTCTTTAATGGACATTGTGGTACTGTCTTGTCTTTGGCAATGTCTAGCGATGGTCGTTACATGGCCTCAGGAGACGACCGTGGTGCAATATTCATGTGGGATCTTGGGTCTGGCCAATGTGTGGCTCCTTTGATGGGACACACTAGCTGTGTTTGGACCTTGGCCTTCAGCGGCGAGGGTTCACTGCTGGCTTCGGGCTCTGCAGATAACACGGTTCGGTTGTGGGATGTGAACGCCAGCAGCAAAGGTTCTCGCTCTGAAGAAAAGCTTAGTGCAACGAGGCATCTTCGCCTCCTGAAAACTCTTCCAACCAAATCGACCCCAGTCTATGCACTCAAGTTTTCCAGGACAAATTTATTGCTAGCTGCCGGAGCTTTCAGCCCTTCGCAATCAGCGAAAGCAACGACCTGAAATACTCAGCAGTTCAACTTCAGCTGAAAGCAATACACGCAGTGGATGCAATGCGTGAGACACTAATCCCATGTATAGGTGGAGATGCTTACCTGTGTTCGGTGAAGCCATTCACTAAGTCATTCAATTTGTTGGTCGAATTAATGAATTATCTGATGCACCACAGATGTTCCTTCTTGCGAGTTCACTGTGGTTTTGGTTATTGAGTCGAGAAGAAACGATGTTGATGCTGGTAGTAAAAAGTACGTGATGCCTAGGTAATTCACATACAGATGTGTCACTGACGTAGCATTCCTTGCCTGATGCTTCACATTTTAACCAGTCCTGGCTGCAACTTTGTTTTGAATGCTTACTGGAATGAAAGGTAGATTCTCAAACTTGGTACTGAATTGAATACTAGAAGAATTTTTTGAAGAAATGATCTAAGATTGTACGATAGAGGTCTTCACTCTTGTTTCAGACACAACAATTCAATAGCATCTTCAATGTTGGAACCATTCTTGTAGGTGTTTGTCTACTTGATTTTGGTTGTCACTGCTTGCATGCTTATCTTCCAACCAAACTGTATACTTGCAAGGTTTCGTGTTATGCAGCAGCAATGAAGAATCGTAAGTTATTGTTTTTAGACAAGGAAAAAGCCGATGTTTTTAGTGTTCTATGTACAATAAAACATGTAGGTACTGAAGTAGAGAACTGAATAATTTGTTCCCATAAAATAAAAAAATATTTTAAATTTTACATATATACTCCCACACCAACAGAACTAATCAATTAGAAAGCTGATACGTCTCGAGAAGAGTGTAGACGAGAATGGGATCAATTTGTTCTTAAATTGTAGTAACTAATGAAGTGACATAAAATACCTTACTGGTCTGAAAAACTCATACCAAAAATAGCCGTAACTTTTAGAATATAGCTAATGCCACCAGTACTTCTAGATTGTTCTACTATCACGTTGAAATTTTATGTAAGTTCTTGCACAAGTGAAAGATACTGTGGAAAAGTACTCTATGAAAGTTGTTAAATATGTAAATAAGTTCAAAGAGAACATCAATTAGTATATTTTTAAATGGTTGCGAAGTTTTTTTATACTGTTTTCCATTATTCTTGACTTTTCCTAATTTACAATTCTATTCCTAATTCTACCGTTCAGTCTTTTAAAGACTTCTTTCAAGTACTTGATTCATTTATTCAACAAATTAACTTATTTGACAAAAAACAACTGTGCAAACTTCTATCGTACAGTGACACTTGTACTTAGATGAAATTCAAGTCATCAGCTAAAACACGGAGATAAAAGCAACACAAGATATTACCAAAAGCCCCAGCGTATCTATTATTATCAAAAACTTGAACGTCCCGAAGTGTAAGGGGCACTAGCACTGTGAAGTGGGAGGGTTCTTCCTATTTCCAACATGGCCAACGGTCATACCGGAAGTGTATTGCACTCTACTTGTCGCCTAACAGAAATTCGCAGTAGCCACTTGGGGCCAGCTTGGAGTTGTGGCAACAACCACAGGACAGACCCTTTAGTAAATCCAATCACCGACTTCACATTTCGTTCTTCACTAAGGAAAATTTAAAAACTGGATGAACTACGGTATGAGTCCTGTAAACGCGGTTCTCACTAATGCAGTCCCAAATGTAAACGAAAATCTTCACTTGAGTTCAAAATTGGCTCAGATGTTCGTCTTTACTTCCTGATAAACGACTCCACATTGCGCAACCACCTCTGGTACTCCCGTTGCTCCTTGTCTTCGAGGAGATCAAGAAGATAGTTAGAAAGGTCTTCGTTTATGCCTCGCGCATCCAAGTACCTCTTGAACTGCCTCTGAAGTTGCTCGTCCAATTGACTGCAGAACCAATACCTTACCACGTTCAGTAAACTGAAACACCTCTAAAACCTATAATATCCATGACTTCACTCGAGAGTATCACTTGCAAATATTAAAGTCAACACTGGAGTCACGTACTTGTTTCAGTTCTACTAGCCTCAGGTGCAGTTTGTCATAGTAGCTAGCCTTAAAATCAGAATACTTTTAAGGGTAAATAATTAACAGTACCAAGACCGAAAGGCAGACCTACTATTGATCCACTGGTTTAAAGCTCTAAACTGAGGTTCGACCTCTATGAATAGAAGGCATCACCCTACACATTATTCTGCTAATATGTGCACAATAAAGAATGGCTCATTCCTCCGATGGCGAAAACATGAATCACAGAAGAAATTAACAGATGAGGACGTCCTTACGAGAAGTCTGGTCCATCGAAGTTGGGTTCCTTAGCATTCTTCTCCTCCACGAAGTGAACATGGCCAATTTGGAAGTCGTTCTTTTGAATAACACATCCAAATTCCAGGACAGGAGAGTCTGGTCCCTTGGTTATTGATACTGTCAAATGCACCGCGTTCTGTTCAGGCACCTCCTCGTCCTCCTCGTAATCCTCTCCTTCGACTCCCATTCCAGGCTGAAACATTGCTGTCAATGCAATGTCCTCTTGACCATACGATCTGCGCAGTGTCACCTCCAACTTCCCTGGTTTGTCTTCCAGCTTGAAAGGTTGAGGAGGGCCCCTGGCTAAACCCTGGGCATACAAAGAAATCAAGGACGGTACAACTAAAAGAGTGCGCTCCAATTTGAAAGGGCAATATCATGTAGTCTTGATTAAATCCAACAAATATCTAAAGAGACATGAGATGCAACCGATTCAATATGGAAGAGCAAGGTTCGAAAAAAAGAGCAGAAATCAGCATCAGAGGCAAAGAATAAAATTGCAACCCTTGGTCGGTTATTACTACAAGTCCGACTCCGAAGATTGCAGCAATAATCGGACACAAACCAGCAACAGTTTCTTGACTTCCAAATTACCTCAATTCCACTTCTAGCGGATGACGACCGAGAAAACTTACATTGCAAAGCAGATGAAAGTGAAAGACCAACCTCCGAAACCCCTTGCATGAAGAAACAAACCAAAAAAACTTCTATGACCAGGAGGTACAATCGAAACTTACTCGTGGAGCCTCGTACTCCTCTTCCTCATGACTAATCTCATCCCCGAGAATGCGCAGAAGGCCGCTATCCTGAGTAGAGGCCTCCCTTTGCGTGGAGGCGAATCGCGCAGGGAAGAACAGATTGTCCGACACTCTGCTCAAGCATTGCGGCGCAGCTCTTGGCAGCAATGCCACGCGCGGCTCCGCCAAGAGCTTCGACGCCGTCCTGCGTAGCGGACCCGCTGCCCTCCGCAACATCATCGCAGCCGCCATCGCTCTCAACTGTGCAGAATCCGCGATGATCGAGCACAGCAATCCCCGATCGAAGGTAAAATCAAATTCTGCGCAACTGTGGAAACAAGTGCGACGACACGACACTGAGGCTTCCGGCGCAGGCCCTAAACCCTAGCTTTACTACCGAACCTGTTCTGTCACTGTTGCTGCTGTTGTATTTGTAGTTTATTTATGTTTATGTTTATATTTGTTTATATTTGTTTATTAGCTGAATTTGTAACTGCAAGAGGTAGTTCACACCTCCGGACGCCAAAGGGGGCCGATCATGCAACAGCCATCACCTCCGCCGCTGCATCTTTTCTTGGGGAAGATCCACGCGATGTAGCTTCGACACCTCCCGGTCAAAGAATTAGGGCTGGCAAATAAATTACGTAGAAAACTTCGAATAAGTTATGATTCCTAGAGTTTGAAACGGAATTGTCTTGTTTTGATGATTGTTTTGGTTGTGTTGTTGATATTGACAAACAAAATACTTTACTGTAAGAATACAATGGACATTTCTTTTTGGTTATTTGTTAAACGTTTTAAAAAAGAAGTAAGAACAATTTTTTTGGAAAGATTGGCATGTATTATTATCTATCATTAGTATCTATGATGTTTACATTTAAGTTTCAAAAAAATTAAATATAATTTTTTTAATTCTAATTTGTATGCATAAACTCTTGTGCTATATATTCTTAAAATGTTTTTACAATAATTGATTGAAGTTTTAATTCAAAATAAGATAAAATATTTTGCAAAATAAGTATTGTTGTATGTAGACATACCATTTTTTTGTATGTATGCTTAGATTTTATTTGTTATGGAGATTCAAGACTAAAACACAAGTATTTATAGTACAAATTTGATATTATTATTAAAATTATTAAAATTAAAAAAGGTTTAATCACTTAATATTAATATTTTAATAATTTGTATAATTATTTTTAAATATTTTTATTTATTCATTTATTTATATAATAATTAAATATTTTCTTTTAAATACTAATGTATCAAATAGATTTAAAATATTACAAAAACAATCTATTGTTATATAAATTCTAGCTTAGGAATTGAATGTAGAAGAGATTTATCCAAATTTTAAAATTCTTCTCATTATCCAATATATATATATATATATATATATATATATATATATATATATATATATATTTAAAAAAAATCATCTTTTCAATCTTAATCCTTTTAGAAATACTAAACTTAATCAATTATAAACAATCTAAATAAAATCCTAAGGAAATTCAAATAAATTCTAAATAAATTCTAAATAGATCTTATAAAACACTAAGTATAGTCTAACAAATCTCAAAAAAATCTTAGGTACATCCTATCAAACCCTTGAAAAAGCCTTAAGCATATCCTATTATATCCTAAATAAATCCTAAGTAAATCTTCAATAAAACCTAGGATAATCCTATATAAATCTTAATAAAATATTAAATAATTTCTAATTAAATTCTAAAAAAATCTTAGGTGAATCTTAAGTAAATCTTAATTCAATCTTATCAAATTCTAATAAAATTCTAAGTATCAATCAACAACTTTTAAACCCTATAACTTCTTTGTTTATCTTTGATTTTTCTTTAAAAATATGTATGATTTTTAATTTTCTACTTAATAATAAGCTCAATTTTTTTGAAAGAATTGAACTTGTAAATTGAGAGAAAAGTATCAATGTCTTTCTTCTCTAATTTTGATGTCTTATTCCTAACATTAAGATCTCATGTTTTCTTTCTTCTTTTTATTTCAAAGTTTGTATCAAACTTGGACTTTAAGCCAGCTAATAGTCTATTAATTTTTGGCTTAATCTAGTTAGTCGATCTTTACATAACACTAATATTCTTACTTACCATCAAATTGCCAACTACCAATATCCTAATACACTTGTATTTTGAAATCATGAAATCTAACCGATCAAATAAGTCAAAATTCAAGAAACATACTTAAAACAAATACATGTGTAATTCTACAAAAATTAAATTTTGGATCTATTATAAAATTGATGAGAACACAAACTCTAATTTATTGTTAAAATAAAATGTTGACAAAACTGAATCTTAAATTTTATAAACTCTCACAAAATCAATATAAATTTGATTTACACAAATCTCACATTTGTAGAATTTTTTTGAAGCCTCCTTATTAATTCTACTTTTTTATCAATAATAAAATCTTACTTTTGTTGTAGATGCATGTTTTTGAGCCTCAAGGTCTGATTTCTATTATGTTTTACAAATGGTCTTCAAGTATTAATTTGATATTTTTTTGTTAATTTTTTCTAATAACTACTTTTATATTTTATTTAATTTTTTTTTAATGGTTTTATATCTATTTTACTATCTTTTGTCTCATTTATAGCTTTGTACAATAAATAGAAGTTTTTTTTATAGTAATATCCCAACATAAAATACTAAGATTTCTATTATCTCCTATCTATCACCAATAATTTCTAAAGAAATTTCAATTAATCTTTTTAAAAAAGGATTTTATACAAAATGGTCTTTATGTTCAAAATCCATAGTATTATAGTTATGTTATAATACAACATTGAGTCTTTCTAAATCAATGCTTCTTCCAACATGTGTCAATAATTCTTTAATATATAAATAAAAGATGTTTGTTATTTTAGTCAAATTATTCATTTTTTGAGTGATCATCTATTCATACTCACAATACATGATCTAAATAATCTTCTTATAAACTTCTAGTCTTACAATGTTTTTTGACTAAGTTGTTATCAAACATCAATATCAAATTACTATTTTCAATCTCTCTAGATTATAATCAATGTTTTTATATAATTTTTTTTTTTTTTTTTTTTTTTTTTTTTTATTTACTTCTTTTAACATCACAATTGTTGCTTTAATATTGTCAAGTCTTCTTTTTTAATGATTGAGTCTACAATGCTAAAAATTCTTTTTATATCCTAATCATTCTTTCAAAGTAACATTTTATATATATATAATTTTTTCTATTTATATTATTGGCTTTATTTTTTCATATTATGAGCGTATTACAAATATACATATTTATTCTAATAATTAATAATATGATTAAATAGAAGTAGATAAATATAGATTAATTTCATAATATCTTTTAAAGAAGTTTTTTAGAAGCTCTATGGATGCAATTTTGACTTTACACATATTCATAGTTGATTGATAGGTTAAAAACTTCGTCAATAACTTAACCATGTGCTACACATGTTGGTAGCTTTCAAAATAAGCTAACTATGTGGCACACATATAAAAAACTTGTCTTACAAGTTAAGACATATATCTAGCAAAGTCAACATGTATTCAAGATTCTATAGAACATTGCCATATAACTCCTAGCTTGATATTATATATAGAAGCAAGAGTAAAGCTTTCTTCACTCTTATCAACACCTTTTTAATCCTTAATCTTATCTTTCAAGACTTTTTAGTCTTTTTGTCTTTGGCAATAATCATTTTAGTTTAATATATTACCATTTTATAATAATTCTTTAGTTTTTTTGAATGACATAAGATTGTATTGAAGATTTCTTTCTTTGAGATTTATGTCCTTGATAATTTGACAAAAGTGCTAACTTATTGTTCTTATCTTGTTTTAGAAGTGAGTAAATTATCATACTTCTATTGTTGTGTTTTGAAGGTTACAGACTATCTACTTTTAAACAAATAGTTTAATTTTCTAATACTAGTTTTTTTCTTTAAAGAAAGTGGATTATTCCTTGTTGTATAAATTTTCATTTAATATTAGAGGTTTTGGATTACCTTCCTCTAATTTAACTTTTAGAATTCGCTTGAGTTATCTAAAGAAGATAAGACTCTTTGAAAGATACTAGGAACAATAATTTGGTTAGAGAAGTACAAGTTAAGCCATAGTAGAACCTTTTAAGTTTTTAGAAGCTTACTAATTCAGGTTAAAGCCTATACAAATTAACACAATATATTTTAAATTTCTTACTACGTAATTTTTTTTTTTATTGTCATCAAGAATATTTTTACCTATATTATAAAGAATCTAAGTACAGTGCTCAACATTCTTTAAAGAAGCAATGCAATTACAAAATAAAGAGCATGGTGGCCAAAGAAAACAATGTCTCAAAAAACAAGTTTTTCCAACTACAATAAGAACCATGCAATTGGAATCTTGTGTAACACCTAATAAAAGTTCTATTTTTTTTTTTTTACATACTTTATCTTATTTCACAATGGAAGTTTACTTAGGACCAAAAAATTACAAAGTCTTAGCCTTGCTAGATTCAAGAGCTTCAACGTATTTTATAAACAAAGACTTTGTAAAAAAATAAGAAATATTATTAGTCACAAAAACTAAATTTATACATGTTGAAGTCATAGATGATTGTTTGTTATCTTTTGGAGAAGTTATCTATGAAATTTTTCTTTAGATGTAGCAATTAAAAATCATTATAGTGTTATAATATTTAATGTGATAGGATTTCTTTCTAATCTAATTATTTTAGGATTATTGTGGTTAAAAAAATATAATTTTCTAATAGATTATATTTCTTATTATCTTAATTTTTCTTGTAGCTTAATTTAAAAATTTAGTTTGTCAAGTAGAAATATATAAGTCTAATACATTCAAATCCTTACTATTATATGTAAGAAATAAATATTTTTCTAATCTATTTTAAGAAAAAAAATCAATTTCATATTTGTTGTATGTTACAAAAACTTAGAGATGTAAGATTATATGCAAAGATAGAAAAATATTTATTCCACACTATTTAAGTTGATTTTTTAGGATATATCATTTCTATTGAAGAATTAATGATAGATCCAAAGAAGGTCTAAGCTATCATTAATTAGAAGATTTTAAGAATAATAAGAAGTGTGCAATGATTTTTAAAATTTACCAATTATTATAAGATCTTCATCAATTTTTTTTCTTAAGTTTTGGTTCCTCTTACACATTTGATATGTAAAGGAAAATTTGAGTAGAAGAATAAAGATGAAATATCATTTGAAGCCTTAAAGACATCATTTATATTTGCATCAATTTTGTATTGCATTGATCAATATTTTTAAGGCATTCTTCATAAAAATAGATACATCAAAATTTGCTATGGATATCATTTTTTCACAAAAGGGAAAAAATTATAAACTCCAACTAATAGCTTTCTATTCTAAAAAAATTAAAGCATCCAAGATTAATTATGACATC